GGCAAAATTTGTGACACTCTAAATCTTCGGCGAATGCGGTACAGGGGGTTGGGAGGGAAGGGAACAAATCGTAAAGACCCGGAACGGTATACGAGAAGAAAAAATTTAAAATTTAATTGGTGAAGTGTTCTGCGGTTAATCAAATATGGAGTTATGAATGCTCTCATAGCGGAATAACAAAGTCCCGTATATAGAGAAAATAATCGCGAAAAAATGATATAACAAAACGTTAAAGGCGAGACAAAATGCCTTTTAAACGTAATTTTCACGTGACTCTTGACCGGTATTATTGTCCGCATAATAACTGGAATTACACGACTCTGCGGCTACTCCCGTTCAAAATCACTGTTTTGTAAAAAGTTGATGATAAACAATTTACTCCATTATTTTTCAAATAATTTCAAAAAATAAGGTACCTGAATTTCCATTCAATTTTTCATGTTGTCGTTTTCTCCATTGCAAAAGCATGAATTTATTTTGAGAATCATTCAAACGACGCATGAGTAAAATGTCAATCAAAGACAAAGAAAAGAATCAAGTTGTAAAAATTACTTGCGATCATTCGCGCTCGGCCGCCAGTCTTCATCCGTTGCACGGTTAGCGCAGCGCCGTTGGGTCAAACCGAGCGCGCTGTTGTCACGTTGGTGCTTGCCGCTATGCGCGCATTTCAAGTATCGTAGTGAATGTAGCAACACCTTCGCTCGAACGATCGACCGGGACTCACTCGCAGCGGGCAGCGCGGCGTCACTTTTCTGTCCGTTCGACATTTCTTTTTTTGTTTTTAGCTAAATAAATTTCCCGAGAAAAAAACGGACAACGTCAATGCTTAATATAAGGATTGAACTAGGAACTTCAATTTTTTCAGAATTTTTAAGCGTCGAAAAATACCCTAAAATATTTTAAAAAACGAAAACGGGCGGCGCCGCGCTCATTGAGCGAGTGATCGAGGGTTAAGAGGGACCTGACCTGAATAAGGACATTATTTAGTACTACTCATATCAAGTCAAATCCCTCGACTCGATTCAGCAAGTTTTTTATTGGGTGGCTTTGTCAATTTCATCTCATTTATCATGCTAGTACCTATTATAGTGTTTTTCATTTTGTTTTCCATGCGGTCTCTTCAAATTTCCTCGAGAAATGGCTCAATGAAATTGCGTTTTGCGCATTACAAAATATCTGTAGAGAACAAAAATATTTCCCCAAAAAGAGAAAAAAACTGAAATGGAGATCGAATATAAAAAACGAGAACATGATCTTAAAATATCTCAATAGCTCAATAACTTTCCACGGAACCTCACGTTATTATCTCTTATGTGTTCTGAGCCTCGTAAACTTCTATTATTAACTTACTTGGATATAAGCATGTGGCTGTTGTGATGATGGTGGAGGCGGTGGTATGGGGCCTCCTGTGACTGCTGCATCCTGCTGTGGAGAGGTTCGTGGTGGCTCTGAAAATCAATTAAACCACTATTGATATTTTTTTAAAACATAAATGCAAGGGGTAGGGAAGAGTATGAAGAAGGAATGACAACGAGCCTTTCCAAAGATTAATTGGTCATTTAGTTTTATTTCTCTAATGATATTCAAGTACTTCGTTCAAGTCGGTAATTTTTTTTCAAGCAAGATTTCAATTGTGTTGAGAACTTGTCTGTTCTAGTACTTTTTCAGATTTTTTATTGTTTAATAATTTTTTTTGGGAATTTCTTCAATAAATATTGTGAACAATACTTAAATTTCACATTTGACTCTTGTTGATCCAATGTGTTGAATTTCATTTTTCAAAAATCGTTTTCTCGAAAAAATGTTCGGAACTAAGTTTGACGTTACGCCAAAAAAATACTTTTTGTCTGTTCTATAAACTTTGAAAAGTATTCCCCCTCCCCCGACTAAATATTCCGAACTACTTGGATATCCTTAATTTTCTACGGTTCAAAGAAATGACTGAAGGAATTTTTCAATGGACTTTTAATGGTTTCTACTTTCTTGAATAAAAATAACATCATGGGATGAACAACATTACTTGATTCCCTCAGTCTGTGATTTTTTACAATGAAAGAATTTTTGTGATTTTCGTTTTTCTTGATGCTAACTACTTTCGGAAATTTATGGAATTGCTCCAGAAAAGACTGAAAATTTGGATCAAATTGTATAAATCTGAAAATTTATTGGTTCAAATATTTTTCAACTTAATTCTTTGATAGAATCTACTTATCACAAAATTCTAAATATCAATCAGTCGCTTTAACCCTTTTTTGTAAATCTCAGAAAATATTCAACCGATCTCAATGATTTTCTTTTCAAAATATTCAGCTTATTTCTCTTCATACCTCCCATTTAGCCCCTCAAGAACGGAGCCCTTTTGGTTTCAAGCATGTGAAGATTTCTACTCAGCGGAAAATTATGAAACCGATGTGTAATTGGAGCTACAGTATTTCTCTTTTCGTTGTTATTTGTTCGGCTGAGTTACTTTCCCTAGTTTTGGAAATAATCAATTTTGAAGAGAGACATTCACATTTCCATGGGTCGATACATGGTATTACCATGTATGGAATACCATGTATCGACCCCGTATGTGAGGGGTTAAACCAATATTACATTGATTTTTTGTTCTATTATATCGATTACATTTTTCATACTATCGGGACAATTTGGCACTCAAAATGTGAGGAATCTGATCAAGATTACCGGAATATACATAACTCCAATATCACCAAAGTGGGCGCTTCTCATGCGGACGCCCACATTTATTTTGCAGAAATAATTTTTCATTTCAGTGCTGGTGAGTTTATTGAGGAAGTGCTGTTTTTCGCACTTCCTTAGTAGCTCTTATGTTCTCCCCTAATTCTCCCCAAGATTCACAATAGTGTTCTTTCCCCTCGCTATATGACTTAGCAAAGTAAGAGGATAAATGTTTAGATCTGAGATAAAAAAATAAGTATAATACTCTATACGTTTTTACCGAGTGTACAGAAGACGATCGGTCGACTTCGATATTGCTCGCCTCCCCTCATTATGAGGACATTTTTTTATCAAGGGATTGAGGACTAAAGGAAATACGTTTACGGAAATTTCGCTATCTCTGTTCAATTCTAAAACATGTGTTGAAGTGTAATCTCGAAATGAGATTGACTAGAGATGTAATAATTACCGTCATTCTTTTCTCGTCATAGGACAAATTTATAATCGTCATATGACAGTCATGTGACGTGATATTTTTTTTGTTTTGATTTGAGTAGTATCATATTATTTTCGTTAATTAGATGGCCACATAAAATCTATGTCACAAAAAAATGTCACAAAATTGAGAAGCCCTCATGAAATATCGAATAGTGTGACATTTTTACTGCTATTTAGATGGAATATGATGGCAAGATCGAGATACGCGGCAGCGTATCGGCCAAGAAAAGTTTTGACTCCGATTGTACAAAACATCAGGCCGATCGCTGCCGTGTATCTATACACGAAGCAACTACCCCCTCCACTACCTCCGAATCATATCCATTAAATAAAATACAAACGTGACGAGCTACATGAAAAATACTCTTAGTTACATTGTATAAATTGGTCACAAGCTTCTCATTGATGTAACAATTTTTTTGTTCGAAGCAATATTTTAAAAAATACGCGCATAGCAAAGGGTTCATATGCATATTCCCGCATTTCACATCAACTCCTTTCATTTTTTTGTTACGGAGTTGGTAGCAGTGCAATACAACCACACGCACCAAGGAGGGAAGCCCGGGAATTTACAAATTGAATATGGTGCATGAATGATGAATTCCACAGATATTTTTCAATCGAGTTCCGTGCACAAATGAATTTTCGAAGAAACAAATTCAGTCGGAAAATCTTGAATAAATAATTGAAAGATGGTGTAAATAACGACTGTGGAATAGAGCTATTTGTTTTACTTCGATTGTTAATTGGAAAGATGATTTATCGTGTGAAAAATGAATGAGCCGAATTGAAAATGACAAAATTTACAGGATATAAAAACGATTCCTTGTTTATTTTGAAAAAAAAATGAAATCTCCCTAAAAAAACAAAAACAAATGTTTTTGTAAAAAAAACTGCGTCAAGAAAAAGTTTTGTTTGGTTCTTACTGGGGAGTAGAAATTTTTGAAAAATACAAAGAAATGAAAAAGAAGGCCAAGTCAGCAATATCGAATAAACGATAATAGTGAACAATCAGATTTCTATAAGAGAAATTGTTTCAAATCAAATGAGGATTTTTAAAAAATTCTTGATGAAATAAAAAATTAGTAGAAGGAGGACTAACGTTCTTGGTGCAGAGTTTTTTAACTCATTGTCTAGTATCAATCGAATTCTCCATCTTCTGATCCGCGCCAAGGACGTTGGTCCTCCTTCTACTAATTTTTTATTTCATCAAGAATTTTTTTAAAATCCTCATTCGATTTGAAACAATTTCTCTTATAGAAATCTGATTGTGCACTATTATCGTTTATTCGACATGGCTGACTTAAGATTTATGTCACAAAAAATATCACAATCGAGGAATGTGATCAGACAATTTTATCAAACCAAATGTCGTCACTAATTGATGACGTGACAAAAATTTTGTGGCAGCGTGCACGAAAAAATTTAATAGAAAACTCTAGCGAATTCGTTAGAAAATTCTATTGGATTTCTATTCAACTTTCTATTTGTTTTTGGCCGATTTTATTGAAATGTTCAATAAAAAATATTCAATAGAATTCGATTTTTCTATATAACTTATTTTCTTCAGATATTTTCTATAAAATTTGCTCGTTTCAAATTTTTTAAGTTTTTTTCATACTATTTTGATTTTCTTCTCATCAAGAAAATCAAAGAAAAAACTTGGAAAATTTGAACCAAGAAAATTCTACAGAAAATATCTCAATAGAATAAGTTATATAGAAAAATCCAATACTCTTGACTTTTTGTATTTTGTAAGAATATGTTCTATTGCACATTTCAACAGAATCGACCAAAAACTAATGGCAATCCAATATAATTGTCTGGCGAATTCGTTAGGTTTTTTTATTAAATTTCTTCATCCGTAAGACCATTTATTTAGTTGAAATATGGCCGTCATATCATAATGCTGTCATAATTTGATCGTATGACAAAAATTGTCATACTGTAGACCCTCGCTAGTTACACGCCCGTTACTTGCTTGTTTTCCCCTAATCCCCTTCCCAGGCGCTGGAGCGCTGCCCCCTACTCTTGGCCGCCTTATTACTTTCTTTTGTCCTCTGTACGTAAACATAGAGGTCCATATAATTTTATTCGAAAATAAAACGATTCTTTCCCTTTCATTTTTCTGAGAATTTGTGTCGGCATTGGTTGAGGAGTGGGTCCGGTGGAAAGTTGCTCATTTCTTGGAAATGGTACCCCTACAGCCCTTTCGATGAACAACTAGCGTGAGTCGACTGTAATTGGCTTCTGTCATGTGACGCGTCATGAAATTTTTGCACATCTCTAAGATTGACTCATTTCGTCAAAAATAATTTAATGGTACATCAAGAATAAGGAAATTATTTAATATCTTTTCTGACCACAATTTTTTCCTGGAAAATGAATAATGGAATTGAAAAAAAATGAAACACACAACACAACCATGAAGATAATCTTGAAAGCTTCCACTAATAGACAACTTCTATATCAGTGAAATGTTTGGAAAAGTGGTGTAGATGATTGGGGGACAAATGTTGGAGTTCTGCTATCTAATTACCTGAGTTCTCAATTAATATCAATGCTTAAGAATAAACAAAGAAAACCTTCGAGATAAAAAATGACTATAATATTTTATACGTTTTTACCGAGTGTACGGAAGACGATAGGTCGACTTCGATATTTCTTGCCTCCCCTCACAGCTGTGATAACCAATTGATACTGGGTGTCAGCTTGGAGATCGCTGAGTGTGACAGCGTCGCTGTTCCCTGCGACCAACCGCACCATCCTGTAACTAACCACCGCGCTATTGTGATATGATGAATATTGATTGAACCATTCAATTCAATTCCGTACATTGTTTCCATGCAATTACATACGATAACGATCATTTGAAACAAATGTATGCTGGAGCTATTGCCAGATCAGAATTTTTTTAGTGAATGTATCTTTGGATGTTCTGGAAATGGCTGAATCGCCGTGAGGACATTTTTTATCGAGGTATTGAGGACTAAAAGAAATACGTTTTCAAAAATTTCGCTGTTTCCTGAATTCCCAGAATAATATTGAAATGAAATTGACTTATTTCATCAGGAATAATTTCAATTTTATGGTTCATCAAGAGTGAAGAATTTCTTCAATATGTGCTCGCAGCATACATTTTTTTCTTGGAAAATAGATAATGAAATTGGAACAAGGTGAGACACGCACTACATGATCATAAAGACAATCCTGAAAGCTTCCACCGATAGACAACTTCTATATCAGTGAAATGTTTGGAAAAGTGGTGCAGAGGATTTGGGGACAAGCATTGGAGTTCAGTTATCTAATTACTTGAGTTCTCAATTAATATCGAATGATCGCTTGAGAATATACAAAGAAAACCTGTATCAATGTAATAAAATAAAGGTAAATAGTTTCTCAAATTTTTACGAATTATCTTGCAGATATCTCCAACTAAAGGGCTTCGTCCCTTGCCCGCTTCGATTGTTAACTCTTCCCGCCCCCCCAATGACTATTCGGGTGTGGCTGTTTTCCTATAGAAAAGAAGTATTGTTGTACAAGATTCTAATTCACACCTGTCTTATTGAAATACATTCTTTAACCCATTGAACGACCAATGTCTACGATCGTCTATGTGTGAGAGAAGTGGGGGGTCGTCAGTGTGGTAGTGCGCCATAAGAAAAGCATGGCAGCTCAGGCATACTACTACAAGATGGGGAAACGTGGGAAAACGTTTGGTCGTGGAATGGATTAACCCTCCTGAACTGGCTAGATCTCTTACGTCTCACTTGCACTGCAGTGGCGCCCTATTGGTTGAGTAGTTGGCGGCGGCGCGCCGCTCTACCCGCCAGTTCAGGAGGGTTAAGGGGTAACGGAAGCCGTCGCAAAAGTTTGTTTTTTCAACCCATTTTTCTCCGATTGTGTCTAATATAAATGGCTGAAATTTTCATCAAGTATTGAGGGGAGTCTAAGCGTTGTCGTCCATCTATTATTTTTTAGCATTAGCTGTGTCGTTAAGTTTTCTGCATTTTTTTTGCGAAACATCTGAAAAATAATAGATGGAGGAGAACACTTAGTTTCCCCTCAATACTTGGTGAAAATTTCAGCCATTTATATTGGACACAATCGGAGAAAAATGCGTTGAAAAAACAAACTTTTGCGACGGCTTCCGTTACCCCTTAAGGAACTTCCGCAGTAAGTATATGGGAATACCAGGAAATGGACTGCAGAGCTGAAATTTTGAGAATAGATTCTTTGAGTGATTACAAATATTCTCCCGAAGTTGTAAAACGCAGAACCACGTAGAAAGTACTTTTTCAAAAATCACAAAGAAATAATCGACAGTGGAATAAAAATTCAAACGCTTCACGAACAGAACCGTATATATTTCAGGTACATATCCCCACAATTGCATTAGCCGTCACCACAGGGATTATTTGTAATTATTGAAAATGTATGGCATAGTTCGGGATTTTAGTTACGTTAGAAGAAACTCGTGGCTAAACATGGCAACATTGAGGGAGGTTAAAGTGCGCACGGCGGAGGCCATCGTGTGAACTCGGCCAATGCATATACTGTAGATTCTATAGTACAGTATAGGATTTTATCGGAACACAAGAATATCAACTGCGTCGAACAAAAATGCATGGTTGTCAAATCTCTCATGAAACTTTTTATTTGTTAAAAAATTCGGATAAATAATATTTCGGAATAAAAATTATTTGGAATTGATTAATCATGAATAACAACTGCACAGAAATCCAAACGACAATATTCCAATACTTGCTTGAGCACAGGGAGACTCTTGTCAGAAAGGCTGATGATAGAGGGGAAACCCTCATGAACTTCATGGCCAAAAATAAATTTGTTTTGCTCAATGGAAGATCGAGGTCTGACTCTCCGGCTAAGTACACCAGCTCCAAGGCCGAAACCACCTATGATCTCGTCTGGATAAATGTGGAGATGGCTGGTATTGTCTCGGACTTGGTTGTGTCCTCCTCTTTGCTGGGCTCAAACCACCTCCCAGTCACACTGGGCCTAGCAATACCTGTCCCTTGCTCGTATCCCCTGCTAAATCCCCTCCCTCGCCCAAGTGAAACTGGACATCGCCCCCCCCGTACTGTACTCTCATGGAAGGCTGATAAGATAAAAGAATACTCTAGGAATTTGAGTCAATCGGTTACGGATGTTGGAAGTATGGAAGTGGTAAGTGTGGATAGGCAAAATGCGAGGATAATTCAGGCAATAAAGGAAGCAGCATCTGCCACGGGAATGGAGAAGAACCTGCCAGCTGGGCGTGCTGGTTCTTCGACCTCTAGTAAGAACCCCTGGTTTGACTCAGAGTGTCTTCAACTGAAAAAAGATGCCAGAAAACTCTTCAGTGAAATCTATCAACCCGAATTTGATAAACAAAAAGCAGCTGCATTTGATGAAACAAATAGAGCCTACAAAAAACGGATCATGTCAAACAAAACCTCGTACAAAAACGATACAATGGAAAAATTCTCCAACATCAATAACCCGATTGTCTATTGGAAGACAGTAAATAGAGCAAGAGGTTGGACACCTTCGATTGAGGTGATCAGCTTGGATGCCTGGAGCGAATTTGTGCTGAGAACATACCCCCAGAGGTCTATAAGAGAGCTGAGCTTCCCATTGGTCTCCTACCATCCCATGGACGCCCAAATCTCCCTTGATGAACTGAACAAAAGCTTGAAAAACACCAAAGGTGGTAAAGCACCAGGAGACGACTTGATATCGGGTAACTTCTTCAAATTCCTCCCTGAGGAATGGAAATATCAGTTGTTAAATCTGTTTAATAACGTGTTTAACTCTGGAGAGGTTCCGGCGTCCTGGACAAGCATAGTACTCCGGATGATTTTCAAAAAGGGAGCGCAGGATGATCCTCTGAAATACAGAGGCATAGCCCTCATCAATGTCATCACCAAGCTGTTCACGTCTATCTTGAACAATCGTATCTATGGGTGGGCTGAACTTCACAACATCATACCAGAGGAGCAGGCGGGCTTCAGGAAACACCGAGGTGCCATGGATAACATCTTCACACTGCAGTCGATAATACAAAATAGATTGAGACTCCCTGGAGGCCGTGTCTACGCTCTCTTTGTTGATTTCAGAAGAGCCTTTGACTCTGTTCCCCAATTCCAGCTGTAGTCGAAGGTAATGGGCCAAGGTGTTAGCCCCAAGATAATTAGAGTTGTCAAAAACATTTACGATCGAGCCAGTATGCACGTAAATAACACAGAGGGATCATCTGTTCAAGTGGATGTGAGCGAGGGAGTTCTTCAGGGAGAGAAGTTGAGCCCTCTGCTTTTCAATCGGTACTTAGCGGATATCGTGTCTTACTTCAGAGCGAGGGGTGCAACGGGTATGGACATAGATGGAAAAAATGACGTTATCCTCTTGCTGTATGCAGACGACTTGATAATCCTGGCAAACAACTCTGTTGACCTGAAGCGCAAAATGAAAATCCTGGAGGAGTATTGCAAGGATTTTGTGTTGACAGTCAATATTAGCAAAACTAAAGTGGTTGTCTTCAGGAAAGCTGGTCCTTTACCTTCAACAAACCATGACTTCAGACTAAATGGCAACCCAGTGGAGACTGTTCCCAACTATGTGTACCTGGGGGTAAAATTCAGTTCCTCCGGACTTGGAACATCTGCTGCCAGGGTAGCCAGTGCCAAGACTAAAGCTGCCTCTTCTGCAGCACTCAAGATCATTGCCAAACTTAACGCTGACTCCTGGGAGGGGATTAGCAAGCTCTACATGAGTGTAGTTCAGTCGACTCTTCTGTACACAACTTCTATCTGGGCTCTGAGGGACACGGAAAAACTGGAGAGTGCTCAGCTGAGCTTTCTGAAGCGTCTTTTCCATCTACCTAAAAATTGTGCAGGCTATGTCATCCGCCTGGAAACTGGTATTGATCATATTTCATGTGAAATTATCAAACAGGCATTAAGATGGATACAGAAAGTGCTCGCCATGAAACCCAACCGTTTGCCGAGGATTTGTCTCATGAGACTTCTGGCTCTAGCAAATTCAAACCCTGGAAATCGTGAGGACGCAGGCGAGAAGTATAACTGGATAGTCCAATTGAAAAAGCATCTGGATATAGTGGATTGTATGGACCTATGGAAAAACTTGACTGCGGAATATTGGAATCAGAGAATCCCCAGTATTATATTAAGTTTGAGATCTGAGTTGAGACATGAGGATTACAGAAGATACTGCAGCTCTTCCACGTTACAGCTAAAAGTTTTCAGGAACCCTCTTGATGAGTTTGAAGACTTTTATCCAACAAGAGGGGCTATGACTTTCATCAGGGTTAAAATGCAAGCTCGTACTATGTCAATGCACTCCAGAAGACTGATTATTGACGGCACTGTATACTACTTTGACCCAAATCAAATTTGCACTCTTTGTAATAACCACCAGCCGGAAGATCTCCTACACATCCTACTTAATTGCCCCTTTTTCCATCCCCTGAGAGTCCATTACCTACCGCAGTATCTGTGGGATCCTTGTTCCCAATCGAAATCAAGTCTTTCAGCATTCTTAAATAGTAATGACCTGAGCAATGCTAGAATCCTCTTTTGCTATCTGAAAAAATGCTTCCAATTGAGATCCTCCGAATTGAACGACTAAAATATCAATGTGTATAACTAATGGCTAAAATTTATGTTCACAGGAGAGTCGCACATAAGTTGGTCCTGTTACCTAATACCGTTTGAAAAAAAAACCTATGACTTGGCTCTTGTTACAAATTATCCT